ACAATATATTAAAAAATAAATTAAATAAATAAATTAAAAACATTAAATTTAGATAAAAAGAAAGAGAAGCCACAAAACAATCTTTATTAATTAATTGTTTGTAAACAAAAAAGTGACTAAACAAACATTTGATGATGATCATGTTCTGGCTGTATCATGACATTAAAGTTTATTGTATTGTTTATTTATCAACAGGATATTAAACTTTTCTTGTTATTAATTAAAATAATATTTAACTCATTTTTCTTTTTTTAAAAACAGTAATCATTAATCTTGCTGCGTGTTAGATTAAAATATTTTTAATAGTTTATATGAGCTGCATTCTACTTTGTTTTTACAAACATAAAATTTTATTCTCAAAGTTAACGCTTAATATACAACGCCTTTGTCGTTTTACAAATCAAACTTAGAATCCAGTTCTCAATTTTAGTAAATTTTAACCTCAAAAAAGATTTTTGCCGGTACTATGTATTTGTAAAAGTATAACATAATGAGTAGAATTTTTAATTTGCTTTGCAATTTTCATCAAAAATAAAAATTTAATAGCCTTAATACTTATACAAAATTCAAATGTTTTTTAGTTGAAGGGAGCGAAAAGGTAGACTGAAAAATTTTGTAGTTAAGCATGCCAGTTTAATTTTGAACTAGGGATACGATATAAATAAGAAATTGATAACTTTGTTCTGCATAAATTCTTTTTACTTAGTTTGTACTTTTTGAATATTGTGGTATTATTGTCAATAACTACATGCATTTTTAAATAACTAATTGTTAAAGACAATTTGTGACAATTATTTAGTTACAACCTTTAAAGTATTATAATTTGTTGCTTTCTTTATGAGAATTATTATTATGCTTTTATTGGTTTAAATTTTTTATAAAAATTATAAAAAAGAAAACTCTCACAAATTATGCTAAAAGAAAACATCTTCGGAAGCGGGAATAGGAAATATAAGAACGAATCATTATAAAATAAAAGCAAATTTTATTTTAAGGGACCGGATGGAACAGATGCCAAAATAATGAGGATTATAGAGAAGTACCTCGGCACTGGCGCATTCCTCGCGAATACCCCAGGTGGATACAACGATTCCTTAACTATATTTGAAGCTTTGTTGCATAATTGTTAATCACTTTATTCAATAAATTTTTATAAGACAAAGCTTTTACATTTCGATTTTATTAATAAAAGCGGAAGTTATTCTGTTTAGATTTTGAAAGTGAGCCAAAGAAGCATCATTTACCTATTTATTTAGATAAACGATCCAATTGTAAATTTTGTTACAAGAATGAAAAAATAGTGACTTGTTTTACTAAATGTGAAGCGTATGGTATTTATTTATGCATAAAAACTCATGTATCGTATAGCGTAGCAGCAAAGGACAGCGGAGATTATAACTTTGAATCATCAACTGGAAGTTCTATTTAAATAGATATTTATTGTAATAAAAGTTCTTTTATTTTTAATATAATTTTTTATTTTTTATTAGTTACTTTTTTTAAATTTAACATTCATAAAGCCAAAAATTTTTAAGATTGAGTTATGTTACAGATTTACCAAAAAATTCTTCTTTTTGACCCTTTTCTTTTAGTATTTTTACAAAAAAAAATTAATTTTTTAGAAGCCATATCTTTCAGCACTTTTTTTTAAATTTCTATGGCAAAGTATTTTACAGGGTTATTATGAAACTTTGCATTATCAGGCTTATTAAATCATATAAGTTAAATTTTGCTTTAATTGTATGTACAATATAAGTCTGTAATGAGTCAAGCTTGCCTAAAATAATAACTTCAATTTTCTCTTTACATTTATCATGTAGATTACTGTTTATTGATTTCTTAAGTAAAAAGCTATAAGAATGTTTTAAAGCCTAATAGATTTCTTTTTTATTCTTCTTTTATAACTAAATATATGAATACAAATGTGACTCAAGTTTAAAATTCTGAAAGTAGAAAAATAAAGTAAAGCAACTTAAAATTATGTAGTATTGCCTAATTTTTTGTTCATTAAGGAGGAGGAGAAATATTTTTGGCTTCAATTAAAAACTTTAATGATTTATTTTAATTATTTTATATTTTTATTATAATAAAATAAAGATCTTTGTGGCAATATGTACGATTATGTATACATACAAAAATAATTTTTTGTAAAATTACTTTGACATGAAAAAAAAATATATTTATTTTGATAAATGCAACTGAGCATCTCTAAAGTGTAATTCTTTACAATATCATATCTTATGGTTTTTAATATATATTGAAATATGTGTTGGATGAAACCAACCAGTAGCTTCAGATACGAACGAAACCACAATGTCTTAAGCGTGTTTATTTGTTTGTTTACATGTTTCATGTAAAACTATAAAAAGAAATACTGAATAAACAAGAATGTCATTTATAAATACCTCTTCTAAGTCTTTCAGACCCAAACGGGCCAGCAGTGTACTATTTTCCGAGAATATGTATAAACCAGGTTAAATTACAAAATATTATTAAGGTCAATGTTTATAGCTGAATTATTTATTTTAAATAAAATAAAAAAAATTTTTATTTTTTCACGTGTAATATTTGGTATTACATCAAAATTAATATTTTTCTAAACGCTAAATTTATTATCTTTTTTAAATTATAATTTTGCGATTAAATGTTTAATTTATCACAGTGAAAATTATTTAAAGATTAATAACACTTTTTAATTGTTTTTAATACACTTTTCAAAAATTTTGATTATAATTCCTCTGAAATTTTTATTAAAAAATTTGAAAAAGTATAAATTCTTTTTTTTTATCCCCCTCTTTATTTATGAAACTCAAATTAATATTTTTTATGCTAAGCATTGAGTTTGTTAATACTACCAGGATTTCGATAAATACATTGTTTGCTATTGATCCTCTTATAGAACAATATGATCCTATTGAAAAAGAATTTTTATACATGTTATTAAACTTGAGTGATGAATTAATATGTAATAAAATTAAAATGTTTATTTTGAAAAGCTCCATCTGCGACAAAAATAACTGTGATAGAAATACAATCTTATTTTGTAATAAATTAAAAAAGTATATAAACGACAACATCGGCGATTTGGATGTTATATTTCCACGTTCCAGCAAAAAGATTTTATGGAAAGATATAAATACTACTATACAAGAATTTAAAACAATTTATGATATTTTTTTTCAATAACAGAAAACTTTATATTTAATCCAATTCGTACAAAATCTCAGAAAATTAACATTGAGTCAAAAAAATGTTAGTTTGGCAAAAGAAAAAGTTTAAAAAGATTTTACAAAAAGCTAAATGTATTTTATTCATTAATGCAAATTTTTCCTTAACATTTAGATATAAAAAACATAAAAAAGTATTATTTGACACTATTGTTTTTAGAAGAACAGATAAAAGGCTCTTATGGTTTTGTTACAAAACAAAAATGGATCTTTGACTATTATGATACATATTTATATATTGGTAACAAAGAAAAGCCGATAGAATTGTGGCATGAATATGAGGATATATACTTAAATTATTGTCGTATCATCGAAAGTTTTTTAGATTTTTAGAATATAGGATTAGTTATTTAGTGAACTTTTTGTCTTAATTTACTAAATATTCGGTCTGTGTAAATTGACCACATCAAATCTATAAAAAATAGAATTTATTTTTTAGGTGACAAAATTGTAAATAAATATTTTAAATTCATTTCTAGTGTTTTTATAAGAACTTTTAAAAAAATAATTTGCCTTCCGAAATGTAAATTAGATATATTTTAAGGGCTTTTTAACATGTTAAAATATATAAAATATTTAAATGTAAATAAAAGTATTTTATTAAATTTTGAGCCGAATACATAAAGAATTTATAACTTAATTTACTTTTTGTATAAGAATAAAAATTAATTAAAAATGCCAGTACTCTTATCTCCTGATTTGTTGAAAGAAAACTAAGATATTTTACCTAATTGTGGTATAATTTACCATATATCAATTGTTTTAATTTATTTTACTATAAATATTTATTTTTATTATTAGAACTACAGAAAATAATTAAATAAATTTTAACTTACATTATTCCGGTGAGTGTGATACCACACTATTATTCTTTTTTAGATTAATCTTACTATTTATAGTTTTATTCTTATTCTGATACTCATGACGTTCTAAAATATAGTTTAATGCTCCCGATTTTACCTTACAGTGGAGTCTTGGGTTATTTATAGACATAAATGACAAATAATTTTAGAAAATTATCAAAATACGCTTTTACTTTTAGATTCCCCAACAAAAAAAATGACACACTCAGGCAAATTTTAAGTTTAAAGTCATGAAAAAGAATTGACAATTAATTCAATATAAAAAGTTCTCAAAATATTTTTTTAAGCTAATAACACAAAGCAGTTGCATATGTTACTTCTTAGTATTAATATATTAAAATCAAAATAAATTTTATATTTTTTTTGTTTTTAAATAAAATGTAAGGTAACAAAGTTTAGTATTAACCATTAGTACAACATATTACTTTGTTTTTACAAATTTCTAAAGTTTAAAATTTTATACACTTTTAAATTATTTAATTAATTAAATTTTAATAATAAACTTACCATTTATGGAAATAAACAAAATTAAAATTTAGACATTTTTGCACTAAAAACTTTGTATTTTTAATTTTTAAATTTTGTACAATTGTTTTTTAATTAACTAAAAGTTTTATTTACTACCCTAATATGATAAAGTTAATTTCTCTAATTGTATTTATTTACATATGCAAGTCTACCATTGAAAATCAAATCGAGTCAAGTTTAAATCATTTTAGTAGTGAATCATTAAACGCCCTTGAAAACGAATTATTGTGTAGTTATAACAAGATAAAAGAAAGTACTAGATTTAAAAAAATCTGTCGCAAGCTAAAGTATAAACTATTGTTTTCTGCAAATTTTAATTACCAATGCAACGAAGAAGCCTTGAACACAAATTTTAGAATTTTTATAGATAATAATATTCAAAAAATTATAAAAAATGATAGCGATTTAACAAAAAACAATAGCGATGTAATAAAAAATGATCATGCATTTTGGAGGTTAAAAACCGATTTTAAATACGTTTATCAAGCATTCCGTCGTTTAAGAAAGTATTACGTTTACGAGATGTTAATCGAAACAATAAGAAAAATTTTAAAAAAAGAAAAAAATGAAAAAGATGCACAAAAAAAACATATTAATAAATTTGCGATTTTTTTATATAAATGCGCCAATGATATGTTTAATTCTTTACAGATAATTCCAAAACATTTAAATATTAAAAACGAGAAAGAATATGTTTTAGCATTGTTTTTTTTAAAAAAACGATTGCAAGGTGTAAATGTAAAAGATTATGACTTTAAAACATTGTGTGAAGGAGAAAAAGGTTTTAAGGAGGGAATAAAACATAAATTATATGCTGCCTTTATGATGATTATTTTAAATCAGAAATCTTTTATTGGCAGTTATAAAAGCTTTGAATCATCTTTTATTTTAATACTCAATGAAAGAATAGAAAGCTTACGTGGATCTTTTGAAATAAATGAGGACAAAATTGCCTTCCCAACAAGCATACATAAAAAATCAGTAATTAAAAATTTTGCGCAACTGGTTCAAGATCAATACATTGGTTTGGTTTTGAATTATTTGAACAGAATTACTGTCTATTTATTTTTGTGAATAAAAATTAGTCTTTTGTAATTAGTATAAAAATTAGTATAGTGTTAAATAACAATAATATTATTATAAAAATACTAAATGTCATTTTTCTATTAAAAATTAGAACTATTTTACTATTTTTTGTCAATTGTAACAAGAAGTTTTTGTATTTATTAGAATTTATAAAAATATCTTCAAATTTAATTCAACTAATAATTTAAATATCAAATTAAAATCTACTCTATTTTTAATGAAAGTTGGACGCGATTTAACATCTTTTAACGGTTATGTAATCTAAATACTATTTTAAATTTAGTGAATGGCCTTACATATCATGTTTTTTATATTCCATTGTTGTAAAACGTACTTTAGATAAAAAGTTTAATTAGATAAAATTAATACATTTTAAAATAAAAAAACAAGGCTTACTTGCAAGAAAAAAAAATTGAGACTGCAAGTGTTGTAACTTAGCGATATTCTATGCTCGTGTAGAATAGAAAGGAAAACAGATTTGTTGATAATAAAAGTTTAATGGGGTATAAAATTACAAAAAATTAATCAACATGGTTTTTGGTCATTTAAAAAAATAATAATACCTACTCTAAATAAAGTATGTATATAATTAAATCCGTTGTTTTTATTGCATTAGAATATAAAATATACTTTATACTAGTTACTAACTAATTCTATTAAAATATAATTAATTTTTAATTTAAAAAACATTTATCACTAAAAGGCGCCGAATATATTCAAAAGGAAAATTTTCTCTTTTTTTTACATTTTAAACAAGAAATCCTCCTTAGTGTCATTTTAAAAAGAAGTTATTTCTTAGTCTTATTTTAAAAAGATTATTGTTAAAATTTTTAACACTAAAATGTTTTTTTCTTTAAACATATTTTTCAAAAACTATGTCAGTTTTTAGATATTAATTTAAAATAAAAGTAACAATTTGATTTTTTTAATTATCTAACCTAAAATGTAGTGCGATGGTTTGTCGTAGCGTAATAGAATATTTTTTAATGTAAAAAATATTTTTATTTCTACCAAAAATATTTTTAAAAATTCACCCAAGTTATTTTCCATCAAATTTCCTAATGCAAGAATAATTCATAAATGCGTAATTTTCAATCTCAAAAGTTTGTTACTTTTTCAAAACCCAATACAGTAATTAATGGGTATTTTTTGTAAGATGCTTATAATAAATAACAGAATTATTTTAACTACAATACAAAAATCTTGGCGCCTTGGAATGTTAAAACAATATTTTTTTAGCATACCTATCACTAGAAAACTGAGGTTAAACATGGTACATCAAAATACATTTGTCACTATCGTTTATAAATGGAAAAAAATACGAAAAATAAAGCACACATTATAAAAATGAAATAAGATATAAAACTTAAGAATAATTTAATTAATATCCAACTCATTCATAATAAAATCAGTAGCTTTGGTCCTCTCGTTAAAATCAGAGATCAATGCTACTCCGCATCCACTATTTCTAACCTTACCTCCCAAAGATACTTTCTCAAAATTTAATATTCGTCCTAGTTCTTTTCTGTCATCTATAGTGACAATTGGAATTTTATTCTTTTGAGAAAAGAAAGTTGCAATGGCTTTGATTTTCGGTTCACAATCGTTAGCAAGCAAAACGACCTTTGCTTTCCCTCCGCACAGTACCCTAACACACTCTCTGCCTCCTTTAGAAAGATTATTACTGATGCGTGCTGCCCTGCATGCCTGTATAAGTGCGTCTCTGAGTGTATACTGCTGTTCTACAATTGGTTTATATTCTTCATCAGACATTTAAGGGGATAAAAAAACAAAAATTTTTATTTAAAAATATGAACATTATATGATAATATTCAATTAAAATCAATATTTTACAGTTTTTAATTGTTTTCTATTGTATTAGGTAATTTTAAAATTTTAACCCTTAAATGTTTACACGAAAGAGTGATTGTACAACATTTGATAAAGTAAAATCATATGTAGAAAAACTTAACGAAGATGTTTTACTTATCTTTGGATCAACTAAATGTCCACCTTGCCGAGAATTAAGCAGGTTTTTAGATAACTATAATACTGAAAAAGAGTTTGTAATCATTGATCTCAAAAAGCCTGATTTTAAGGATATGGATATTTGTAGAGAGAAATATGGATTAACAGCTTTCCCTACTTACATTGTAGTGGATAAGGACATGAATAAGAAAATTATGGAAATAGGTTACAAAGGAGAGGAATATTTTGAAAAATTTATTAATACTCACTTTAAATAAACAATTGAAGTGTTAATTTTATTTTTTAAAAATATTGTTAATTATTAAATTTGTAAATTTATATTTAAAATTAACATAAGTATTCGTCAAAATACACAAAATTCAGACAAATATTAATAATTGTCTTGTTAAATAAACTAATTATTAAAATATTTTTTTTCACTAAATACCTGTAATTCATAACATAAAAAGTAACAGTAAACAAATAAAAAACTAGTATTATTTATTTTCAATTAATATATAAGCCATTCTAAAAATTATATAATTTTAACATCTATTTAAAAAAATTACACAGCGAAAAGCGTATCAAAAAAATATTTTTAATTCCCTATTCTAAAAATAGAGGTAAAATGCTCAATTTCTAGCTTTGTTTATTATAAAAACCACAATATAATTGTGCAATAGAGCTAATATACTATAATATTATTGAATAAGCATGTAATTAAATTTACAAATACTTATTAAATACATGTAAAATAAATCTCTATTAATATTTTCTTTAAATTTAATTAAAAGTGTATGTGTAGCTTTACTATATAATATATGCATCCGTAAATCTTTATATTCAAATATTTCACTAGGTGTTTTATCCTCTAAATATTGTATTTTCTTACTTCCTGTCACGTAAATATTTGAAAGTACCATATCATAGTCAGAATAATTGATTAAACACAGTTGTGAATTAATATTCTTACATTTATAATACGAAACAGTAATATTGGTGTAGTATTGTAATATTACTTCCTTATTTAAATACTTTAATCTATTTAATATGTCAGTACTGGGATATCTAACAGTATATTTAAGATTATCTATAATAACTAATATATTATTATCATCGGATCTTGTTACTTCCATACCATTATTAAGTACAAAACCAGTAAATCTAAAATTAAGAAAATCTCTAAGATAATTAGTACTTCTTTTATTTTGCAAATACAAAATATAAGAAATACAATCTATACAGAATGTTGAAAAATGTACAAAAAATCCATTTCTATCTAAATATTCTCTTATACAATATGATATATCACTTAAATTGAATGAAGAATAAAAGTTTTCTACCAGTTTATTATTTAATACAGTTATTTTAATATCTTGAGTATAAACAGCTAGATGTGTAATTTCTTTATGTCCTTTAATTTTTTTATATATTTCATATAAAACTATTTTGTTTATAAATGGAGAAGTTTGTTGGTTAATAACAACAAATATATTAGAAATGTTGTCACTGTAATACTTAACATCTATTTCAAGTTTAGATCTATTTAAAAAGTTAATAAAATATTCTAAACCGTATTTAATGTCTACTACAAACCCTTTTAACAGTATATTATTTGTAGTAACAATATCAACAATTGCTTTATTCTGTATTTTTTTAAATTTAATCCCGTAAAACTTCTCTGACTCTACTGTATAAAGAATTTCTAAAGGTATATTTATTTTTTTATTAAGTTCTAAATCATAAGGATATTCTTTATTATATAACGCTGTAAAAATTCTATACTTATCAGAATATTTTAATAAAAAATTATCTAATACTTCTTCATAAGATTTATCTGATAAATCGATGCCTCTTAACATAAGATCGACATCTAGTGATATGTTAAATTTAGATAAAAATTCTATAATGTTATTTTTAAAGACAGTAAACTTAGACAAATTGTTTTCAGTTAGAGTGTTTTTCATAGGGGATAATAAAAATTAGAAAAAAATTTTAAAGCAAATCTTTTTACTTTTAAAAAACCAAACAGAATTTATTAAAGAAATGTGCAATACAGAGTATCACAGCTCTTAACAAATTTACATAAGACTAGACATCATTGATGTGCAGGTTTAAATAAATTATATAATGAGTCTTTGTTTTTGTTTGAAAGTAAAAAGAACTTTAAATAATAAGGGTTTATCTAATAACAAAATGTAACAGTATCCTTGTTTTCAAATACTGTTTTTCTATATATCTTTTATAAGAGCAAAAATATAAATTTATATAAAAGAGAGTGTATTTTTATAAATAAATGTAAAAATTTCAATCTTAATCAAAATGGGGTTCCCAAAATTGAAAATTCTTTAATTTTTTTTATTAAACATTTAATTCTTACAAAAAGGAAATATAATTTTAGCTAGATATGAAAAAAAGCGACGGATATAATAGAAACAATATAGCCATTTTTTGATAGTTTTAGGCATAAAATGTGCTTTTTGTTGAAAATATTTTAGAACTTGTGATAAAAGAGGTCGTTACCTGTTTAATATCCAAGAGAAATTAATAAATTTGAATAGTGAACTGGTTAGTAAGAGATTTGTTACAGAAAGCTAAGAACCCCCAAAACAATAAAGATCCTAATTCAGTATTATTTTAAAGTACCAAATTTCTTCAGTACAAAACATTTTAAATAAACTTTATCTTACAGTGATTTATTTGTTCTTTCTAAACTGTATTTTTTTATTCTTATAATTATACTATAAATTTTATTTTTTTTTAATCGGTTATAAGATAATACGGTGGGGTGAAGTTGCGGGATGCGGCCAGATTGAAGATAGAACTTTAGAACGCTTTTAGCGTCGCCGAATTTTCTTGCTGATTTACTTCCCCTATTATAAAACTTTTTTGTGCTTACTAAATGTTTTATTGCGCACTCTTTGTGCTTTTTTGTGAAAGTGACCCTTTTGAAGTTGTTTTTTGTTTGCTTCTATGCTTTTAGAAAAAAATTATTTTATTTATAGTTTCAAGTTTCATAATACACAATAAATCCCACGAAACATTCACAGAACCATTTATATAATGAGAAACTTAAATAAAAAAATTATATTTCAAATGGCTTTTTATACCACATACAGATGTGGGTTTGTTACAAAATTGCAAAAAATTAATTAATAAATAATTTAAAATATATTAATTACATTCAATCTGCTCATATTCTTTATCAATATCGTCCATTATATCTTTTAAAGGGGAAATTAGCCAACTAATATCTGTAGACAAATGTGTCACAGACTTAAAAAATAAAAAAAATAGTTTTTTTTTCTTCTTCCAAAAAATCTGAGAGCCCTCTAATCTTTCAAAAAATATTTTCA